TGAGTCAGGAAGGGTGAATCAAGGAATGGGTACTGGTAAGGTTGGAGAGGTGATGATAGAAGCGATTGGTGGGAATAGTGATGATTTAGAGACAGGAGAAATGGAGGAAGGAGAAATAAATGATTGGCAAACTAAGTCAGAGAGAAATCTTGGGAGAAGCCCGAAGTCACAAAGCCTGAAATATTGCCAAGTGACGATAGCTACTCCATCCAGATTTACTCCACTTCAAAACATGGATGAGAAAGGTGATGAGATAGATACTGAGCAAATTGATGAGGTTGATGAAACGAAAAGGGAGGAAGTCGATGATATATTGCAGAGTATGGCAGTAGATAATGTTGACGAAGGTAAAAAAGGGAGAGTAAGGCAGATGCCACCGAGGCTCTCAAAGACGAATCACAGAGTGGTGTTTCCTGAAACTTCAGATCATGTCAAAGATATGAAAAGGGGTTCTAGGAAAAATCACTAATGGCAGGTTTCTTTTGGAATATAAGGGGTTTCAATAAACCAACTAAGCAGGAGGTGGTGAGAAAATGGTTGAGAGATCAATCACTTATGTTTGATTGTCTTATTGAAACAAGAGTAAAGGAAAATAAAGCAGAGAGGATTGTGAGGGATGTGTTTAAGGATTGGAGTTTTATGGCTAATTACGAATACATCAGATTAGGAAGGCTGTGGATATTATGGAGATCGGAAGTTAGGGTAACGCCTATTTATAAAAGTGTGCAACTTATAACTTGCTCAATTTTGTTACCAGGTGGGAAGGAGGAGTTCTTCTGCTCCTTTATATACGCTTTTAATACAGTGGAGGGGAAGAAAGAGTTATGGGAAGATATGAGAAATCACTATGATGTTCCAATGTTAAAGAAGAAGAGATGGATGCTGATGGGAGACTATAATGAGATTCTTGAAGGGGAGGAACATTCGGGGTTTGAATCAGGAGGATGTTCAGACCATTTGAGATGCAGAATCCACCTAATGGAAGAGGAGAGCAGGAAACGCAAGCCTTTCAAGTTTACAAATGCTATTGCAAAGATGCCAGAGTTTAATATTCTAATGGAGAACCATTGGAAGGATTATGAAGCGCTTTACATTTCCACATCTGCCATGTTTATGCTCACAAAGCGCCTTAAAGCTTTGAAGCAACCACTTCGAGAGCTTAGTAAAACCAAGATGGGGGAGTTACCAAAGCGAACCATAGGGGCTTACCAAGCTCTTTGCTTGAGACAGAAGGAGAGTATGGAAAATCCGAGTAGAGAGAGTATCCGAGCAGAAGGAGAAGCAATGAGTAGATGGAAAAAGTTAGCGGACTTGGAAGAGGACTTTCTTAAACAACGATCTAAAGTCCATTGGCTGGATGTTGGTGATGGTAATAATCACTTTTTCCATAGCTCAGTTAGAATAAGAGAGGTAAGGAATGCTATTCATGAAATTACTCGGGTTGATGGGACAATTGCGAAGAATAGTGAGGAGATAAAAGTAGAAGCTGAGACTCATTTTGCTGATTTATGAGACTGGAACCAGTGGATTTTGAGGGGGTTTCTGTGGACATTTTTGGAGGATTTGTTGGGGTTTCAATGCAGTGAAATAGATTGCATGAAGCTTGAAAGAGATGTTACAAGGGAAGAGATCAAGGATGTCTTATTTCGTATGCCAGGAAATAAATCTCCAGGACCAGACGGGTTTACAACAGAATTCTTCAAAGATAGTTGGGAGGTAATAGGTGAAGATATTACTATTGCCATTCAGTTGTGTTTTTGTCAAAGGTTTCTTACCTAAGGGTTTGAACTCGACAATTCTGGCCCTTATTCCTAAGAAGGAGGAAGCGAGAATGATGAAGGATTATCGCCCAATATTCTGTTGCAATGTGCTATATAAGATTATATCAAAGATAGTTGCGAACAGGTTGAAGAATGTCTTGCCGAAATTCATTTCCCTGAACCTGTCTGCGTTTATTAAAGAGCGTTTGCTGATGGAGAACGTCTTGATTGCTATTGAATTGGTCAAGGATTACCGCAAAGAGGATATCTCCCCTAGATGTGCAATGCAAATTGACATTTCTAAGGCATTTGACTCGGTACAGTGGTCATTCCTTATAAATGTTCTGAAGGCGTTGGGTATGCCAGTTAAGTTCATCAACTGGATTTCACTCTTCGTCACTACAGCATCATTTCATGTCCAAGTCAACGGAGAGCTTGCAGGCTACTTTCAGAGCAGACGAGGGTTAAGGCAGGGATGTGCTCTCTCTCCTTACCTTTTTGTGATCTCTATGAACGTGTTGTCTTAAATGTTAGATAAAGCGACATGATGTGGGAGGGTTGGGTATCATCCAAGATGCAAGAGCATTGAGCTTACCCACTTGTGTTTTGCGGATGATTTCTCAAGGTCTTTGAAGACTTCGATAGGATGAGTGGTCTGAAGATCAGTAGAGAGAAATCAGTGTTGTTTGTTGCGGGGGCAGATCAAAGAGGGGAGGAGATTCTGAGAGAATTTAATTTTGCTATGGGGAAGTTACCAGTGCGTTATCTCGGGTTACCTTTGCTAACGAAGAACATGACTGTCACTGATTTTTTGCCATTGGTTGAGAAGATAAGAAAGAAAATGAGCTCGTGGACAGGGAGGTTTCTCTCTTTTGCAGGAAAACTACAGCTGATAAATTCTGTTATAAGAAGTCTTACAAACTTCTGGATGGCAGCATTTAGGCTTCCTAGTGGATGCATTAGAGAAATTGAGAGAATTTGTTCTGCGTTTCTTTGGTCTGGCCCTGAGTTGAATGCAAGAAAGGCAAAAATCTCGTGGGAGGATATTTGTAAAACTAAGCAGGAAGGAGGCTTGGGATTAAGACCTTTGAAGGAAGTAAATCAGGTATGTTGCCTTAAGCTTATCTGGCGAATTCTTTCTGCAAATTCACTATGGGTTAACTGGATTAAAATTTACCTTATCCGGAAGGGATCTCTTTGGACGGTTAAGGAAGCTACTCAGGGGGGGTCTTGGATGTGGAGAAAAATTCTTAAACATAGAGAGAGAGCAAAGGAATTCTATAGAGTTGAGGTTCAGGATGGGAAAAGTACTTCTTTTTGGCATGAGAAATGGAGCTCTTTGGGTTGTTTAATTGATGTAGTCAGGGATGGTGGTTGCATTGACATGGGGATTGCTATTAGTGAGACTGTGGCTGACTGTTTGCGTCACAGACGGAGGCATCATCGCGTGCAGATTTTTAATAGTATCGAGATGGAGATAGAAAGGTTTAAGGAAAGTTGGGTTCATGAGGATGATATATCTTTATGGAGGAACATGAATGGCAAATACAAAAAAGTTTTTTCAACAAAGGAAACTTGGCTCTGCATTAGAGAGAAGCATCTCCTTTGTCATTGGTATCAAGCTGTTTGGTTTAAACATGCGACGCCGAAATACTCTTTTATCACTTGGTTGGCTATGCGTGGGAGGTTATCAACGGGTGAGAGGATGCTGAAATGGAGTGGTAATGTCGATGCTTCCTGTATTTTTTGCCAGGTACCGCTGGAGACTCAATACCATTTATTTTTTGAGTGCCCTTACTCAGCTCAAATCTGGGAGGCCCTCATGAAAGGTGTTCTTAAAAATCAGTATACTGCAAATTGGGATACATTGATTAGACTCATCACTAGAGGGTTAGGTTGGTGCAAAACTCAACTCTTCATTGCTAGATATATGTTTCAGTCTGCTATTCATACTATATGGAGAGAGCGAAACAGAAGGAAGCATGGTGAAGATCCTATTCTTGCTGAGATTCTGATTAAAAGACTAGATAAGAATATGAGGAATCAGTTCAGTGTGATAAAAAGGAGGGGAGGAAAGGAATATGAAGATGGTATGGCTACTTGGTTCAGTACTAGATAGTTTCTCGGCTTGGCAGGGAAATTGTTGTGAGGTTTTGAGTTCAGTCTTCCAGTAGGAGTGAGTGTTGGATGCCTAGTAGGAGTGAGGGCTAGATATATAATGTGATGGTTGTTGATAATGAGGAGGTAGGCTGTTGATTATAAGGAGATTAAAAAGATGTTTTCAAAGAGGTAAGGGGAGACCCAGTAGGAGTGAGAGTTGGGTGGCTAGTAGGAGTGAGAGCTGGTCAGATTTGAGTTTGGATGATAGCTGATGATGAGGGGGTCGCAAAGTTGAAGTAGGGAAAGAAGCTTTGTTTTAAGATTGAGATGTTTTTTCTTGTTTAGGAAATCATAAAGGGTCACATTTTGTTGTAACAAGGATATTTTCTTTTTGGATTAAATTTAACATTCAATTCAAAAAAAAAAATATTATTATCATTCTGCTTGAAAAAAAAAATGAAGTTTAATTTTCGATACGATATTTCAACTGACACTATGTATGTAAAAGTAATTGATTACGTTATTGCAAACCATATGTAAAACTGAAGAAATACCTGTTTTTCTAAAAGACCTTGATGAGGACTATAAAGAATTATTCTTTGTAGAAATTAGAGGGCATATAAACTTTTCTTACTTATATCTTCTAAAAGGTAGATACTAAAATGATATGACCTATAGATAGAAATTGAAGATAAAAAAGGAGTGATATAGATTTATATGAACCTACAATTCTTAAGAATATTAGATATCTTAAATCATCATGTACGGAAAAACACATGAGCTTAATCTCAACACAGATTCTTTTTTTTTTCCAACCTCTTAGAACTACTGATGAGTAAATCATGTCTTCATCTTCTTTTTTTGGGGGGTGATTCTTTTGCGGCTGTGTATATTAAGGCGCTGAGATTCTTTTCTTTGAAGAATGCTTGCCAACTAAGGAATAGTTAAATCAGTGGCCAGTAGCTTTTTGGTCACCGGATTTTGCGAGCTACCGAATATGTATAAAATAACAAACAAAAACACTACTCATGAATCTTCTCCAATGCTATTTCTGGGCCTGAAATAACAAAAATCTGGACTATTAAATATACTTAAAAGACAGCTGAAGAAGGATCAGACACAAACCCAAAAGAGCAAAGCTTAGAAATAAACCTTCTTTAGATACTTCTTGTGAAGTTTCATTGTAACAGAGCATGCTTTCTTAGAACCCAAGTTTCCGGTTATGTCGTTTAAGATCTGAGCAAAAGCGAACAGATTATTGAGGTGCTTAAGAGAAAAAAAAAACACAGATCTCACGTCATTACCTTGACAACATCATCGAGTCCTCGAGCTTCAGTCATAAGCTTAGAACTCTTGTCTTTCAAAACACTAGCCACTAAGAAAACCGATATAGGCAAAGGACCTTCTGCATTGGCTTTTCCATCGTTCTTCATGTTCTCTCTCTTGTACTTGCCACATTGTTTTATCAGTTTTGGTTTACCTTTTGAGGAACCTTCCGTTTTCTCGCCCTCGAACTCAAGCTCCTCGTACAGAGAATACATCTCCGGGTCATACTCTAAAGCCCACATCATCTGCTCAAATGGAAAACATAAGTGTCCTATCCAAGAAACATATCTCTGAGTTTATAAAGAGAGACGTTACCTCCCAAAGGTACAAGGAGTCGCAAAAAGAGAACTCTCTTGTGAACTGAACCATAATCATCTGAATCCCAAAGATTTAGTCACCTCCGCCAAGATTCTCTGCATTTCAAGATACAAATGATGATTATATATATGCTAAAAGTGAAGTGAGAAAGCTTTGGTAGATGATACCTAAGTGATGGTGAAGTTTGGGTCTATAATCTGAGTGATTCTAGCCAAATGAGTAAGCTGTGCTTCAACTCCACCTGATCTTCCCATGCTCCGAAAGTTACCTCGCTTTCATTTTCCGAAGAAACTTTTTAATATTTAACTCATTACAATCATATATGAACACACCAAAACAATACCAATCGGCGCATCAGTCTTTCAAAACACCAAAAAGCATTAGCTTCGTCTTCAAGAAGCATAATCATCCAATTGTTAAAAAAATGACATAAGTGAAGGTAATAAATAGTTACAGTTCCATGTTGAGATATCAGCTCTTGCAATCACATATGTCTAATATCTTCTAGTTCAGGATCAGCCTACACAAAGTAAAAAGGGAAAAAAATAATATTTGGCAAAAATATCGCAAAAATTCTAACTTTCAAATAAGAATTATTTTTGGCTTAATATTTGGTACAGTGCTTTGATTCCTGAAAACTAATCTATCATCTCAAACAGAAGATCAAGCCACGTTGATCCAGTTTTGAAGCTGATGGTGCTGCTTTTGTGGCCAAGTATGAATCGGAGCTGAGAGAGAACACGATGCTAGGAAGAGAAGAGAAGTCTTCATTAACGGTGTCGGGATTCACGCGGAGGAGGGATACACTTTGGTTGCGTCGGTAATAGTACCACTCTTACCGAGAAAAAGAGGTTTACTACCGAAACGTTTTGTAAAGAAAGATGAAAGAGAAAGGAAAACAATTCGTTTAAGCTTTTCATGGTTACAATTGAAGTCAACATTGTTTCAATGCTTAACCTTTATGAGCTGAATTAGAGGAACCAATTTATATATAAGGAGAAAGTGAGGGAGGCTAAGCGTATACATAATGAAGGGAGTAAAGAAGAGAATTGATTGATTAGAACTGGCTGGTGGTAACGGTGTTTGCGTGATCTTCAATCGGAGAAGACGAAGTGTTGGAGAATACGACAGATTCATCTTTCGTAAGTTTGGGTTTCTAGAAGGAGATCTATTTGGGCCATAAAAAAATAATTTAAGTCCATACGATAAAGCCTATCTGACGTGTCTAGATGCAGTCATCTTATTGGTTAAATATAGTTGAGGACGTGGCACCCTTATTGAGCTTGTTATTCTCCTTTTAATAGTGTTTGATTTAAACATAGTATTCATTATGTTTTCTAATCATCAAAAATATTTAATAAAATCTATTTTATAATTTTAATATCATGTTTAATGTTTCTTTGCACGTATTTATAGTTTTTCAAACTATAGTAAAATGAGATATAAGTGATCTTTCGGATTTTAAGATTTAGTAATTGTGTGGTTTGTTTAATTGAAAAAGTAGAATATTATTAGAATTTTTAAGATCTTTTTGTTATAAATATTTATAAAGAATATTTTTGTGATTTAAAATATATTATTGGTAAATTAAATAAATTTAAAACCACGGTTCAAAATAGTTAATGGCCTACAAAATAAGTATATATCTTGTTAAATTATTATTTATAAATCAGCTGGTATATCTAATTATATTTAGCTGATTGGTCTTGATTACAATTTTTTTGAATTTAGCATACGATTAACAGCAAACAAATTTGAGATTCTCCTTAAAGATAGTATATTGTTGATTTTATTAAGATATTAGTAAGATATAGTTGTGATTAAATGTGATAATTAAATGTGATAATTTTCTAAGAAATGGTTCAAAATGAAATATCATACATGAAAAAAATCATAACTTCGATTTTAATAGATAAGATTGAGATGGGCTGACCCGTGCTTGTCACCATTTCACAAATGATGGTTGCAATCATTTTCATTTTGTGAACATTTCATGTATGGTTTATTACCAATTTTAATGACTATAATAATATATTATTGCCATATAAATATTAATAGCTTATTAAGAAATTGTAAAATATATATGTGTATATATATATATATATAAATATTTTTGATAAAAATTTTGAATTTATTGATCATCAACTAAAAGAATTTACAAAGAATGAAACCTAAAAAGAATAAAGGTTCTTATATCAATCTGTTGAAAGAAAAGAAAAATTTGTACGAAAGCTCCATGCTCAATCAAAAACCTCAAACCATCTCCGAAGTAGACCTTCCAACCTGTGGTCTGCCTAATAACCCAAAGAAGAGATCCTATTTTAACTGTCTTATTGATCGTACTGATCATATGTTCAGTCTCCTTCTCCCCTTGTTGATGTATTCTTAGATTGCGTTCACGCCAGACATGGTAAACCACCGCTTGAAAGAGAAAACCGATAAGTACCTGATTCTTAAGATTGACTGCTCCATCTCGATTATACCTAAGCATATCAGACCAGTAAGGGTTTATTCTCCGTCCCATGATCTTTCCAGCAGCTCTATGCCATATGGTATAAGAGTAAGGACATGCGAAAAACAAGTGATCTTGTGTCTCATCTCTCTCTCCACAAAGGACACATCCTTGTTGTATTCCCCACTGCCTCAATCTGTCACCCGTAGAGAGCCTATTCTGAATCGCAAGACAAAAAATAAATGCAAACCAAGGAACACCTTATTTGAACCACACAAAAATTGTAAAATATATACTGAAGTAAGCAATATCATATATATTGAAAATTTCATCTTGTTAAAATATAGATTTCAAATATTGTGGTTACAAAGAAAAAGGAGATCTGCAAATCTTGTATTAAATAGTTTTGGATCAATATTATATCCATTATGAAAACTGTTCGATTTTTCAAATTATTTAATTTGTCTCTACGTTTTTAGATAAATATTAAATAAATAATGAGACTATGGAAATATATGATCAAAACTGTTAGACTTCAAAAATTTATGAATTGTGAATATATATATATATATATATATATATATATATATATATATATATATAGATCATTATATAATTGAGTATTATTATAAAAATATAAAATGTATAGGTATGTTATTTGTAGCCAGTGTATATATAATAACTATAGTTATAAGAAGAAAATGTGTAATTATATGGGTTAACTGTAGTCTACAATCCGCCATTGTATTGTATGGTGTATAATATAGTTCACGAATTATGTCATTCCATATCATATTATTGATTAACAAAGTTACATTGGAGACTATATATAGCATTAAGCCATTAATGAAAGGAGTCATGAATTAATGTATTAATATGGTGTGAACTATAAGAATATGAATATGTAGACTTGAATTTATCTAACAATAATAAAAGGGCGATAAGATGAAAGGAGAGATATGCCACGTCAGCATAAAAAATCCTCCAATTAGAATCGTCCAAACTACCACGTCATATTGATTTATGTTGACAATAAAAATTACTCTGTGCATTTGGGCTCCTTATGTTGAAGGCCCAATATTACTCTAAAAACATGATATTGGACTCTGTCCTTCTGCTACCCAGACAACACATATAAACCTAATTGCCTTTTTATCTTCTCCTTTCCTCTTCATCCAATCCCCGTTACGGAGCCTCATATGCGATCAATCAATGGTATTCTTCAATACCTCTTAATGAGTTCGTTTAACCTCTCTCTCTTTCTACTACTTTATAAACCACTTTGTCTTCAATTGCTTCCATTCAATCCCGAAAGCCTCTTCTCAAGAAGTTGAAACTATAGGGATGAAACCAAATGGTAAGTCCACTTGCTGGTACTTTTGTCTCTGTGGATGAAGCTATTTTATTTTAGCAGGATACCAAAGGTATGTCCCACCATCTTCCTCTTATTTGTTAATTCCTTATTCAAGTATAGGTCTCATTCTTTTAACTTCTCCGGGGAGTCGATTACTATTCATACCAAAATAGTGTCAGTTGTAGAAGTTATTGTTCTTGCGATGGTTCCCACTATTTAGTTTTCTCTGATTTAGTTGTCTCTTATTTTCCACACCAGGATATGTGTAAGGGATTGATTATGGGAACACTTTTCTTGCAGCCTAGCTTCCTGATTCTGATTGAGGTAATGTAAGTCTTTGCTCGGTTTGGTTTAGACCTTTTGAGGAATTGTATTTTTTTTGTCATATTAAGTGAATGTAGAATCATAATTCTGTTTTCCCTGGCCATAATATTCATTTGTATGCTCTATTTTCATTTTCCCGTTAACTTTCCAATCTTTTTAAATAAACTTTTTGAATCTTTCAGGCAGAAATTTATATGCAACAAAAAGAAGAATACGGAAGAACTCTAGAGGAACAGGAATTTATCGGTGCTTTTTTGATGTTTCTTAATACATGCAATGAATCCTCTTGACACACCATTATTTGGGCTACCATTTTCCTACAGGAATACCCTGAGATTATACAGATTTTAAAGGTAAAATGAGAATATATGTTTTCATCAGTGGCTTTAAAGAAGGATTCTTAGGCAATCGCGGAGAGGATTCATTGCTCTCTTTGTTTCCTTCTGATCAACTCTCTCTGAGGTTAGTATAAATAACCAATTTTTAGGTTCTGGGTTATGTTTAATTTCATCAATGCCTTGCTTGTGTTCATCTTTTGAGCTCTGTAACAATCGCTATCTGTTGCTGAACAAAGATGTCCGATAAAAACATTGCCAAGCTTGATGGTTTTGATAAGTTTGTGAACATAAAGAAATATTGTTTATTTCTTTGGTTAAAGCTCTTTTTTTCTAAAGCTAATGAGGGTTTCTTGATAGCATTGTAGGCTACTGGAAGCTCAGTTGATCACATGAGTTGCTTTGGAGACGCAGATGGACGGCTTCAGGAAACCGGTATGTTAGGTTAGAGACAACTAACTGGTTTCGTATGAGTGAAAAGTCAACTTGAACTGCTTTTCTTTTGTGTTTTTAATTTGAATCTCTAGATGTATCCATTAAAGGGAACCGGTACATCAACTCTTGCCTCAGGTACTTTCATAATGAT